TATGCCTCATTATCTGTGTGCTGCAGGTTGAGAATAATTGCTGAATAAATTAGCATCAGATCAGAGAGCATGAAATTAAGGACACAAATAAAGTGAGTTTCAACATGGTAAATTAAAACCAAGTTGCAGACTTCCTAAGCTGAGCATTAATAACTTACCTTTGTGAAGGAAAATATGATTTCAATTCACACAGAACAAGAAATAAAGATAAAGAGTCACCTTTAAAGGCTATTGTTTCAGTTTTCCTATTAATGTCATTGAGGGGTCATCCTCAGAAAAAGGTATTTGATTAAAAAAAATTAAGTGTAAACATTTTAAGGATGATTCATCATCATTCCCTATGACATTTCCATTTTATACTCTGGACCATAATCTACATATTTCAAATATGGTTACATTTATAGATATAAAAAATGCAAGTGTCTTGTTTCAGTTACTTCACAAGACATTTATTAAAATCATACTTTTCTAAGTCCGGGGGAAGATAGAAAGTTTAATTAAGTCCCAGAACCTGACCTCATGGAGCTTACAATTTGTAGGGGTTGCTGAGGGGGTGATATATTGCATAAATAGGAAACTGCAATATAGAATTACATGACATTTGATATGTATAAAACACAATGTTATATAGGATGTAAAGGGTCTAATTTTGCCAGCTGGGAGTTCGGTGAAGACTACATGAAGGCTTGAGAATTGAGTTGGTTTTCATAGCATAGAAACGAATTCATCAAGAGAAGAGTGGATCTTCTCGCCATAGGGAACAATGATTAATCACTGAATTCAATATCCAATTTTTTATTGGTTTTATATCATTGAATTCCTAAGATATTTTTTTCTAATTCTTCTTTCCTTTCTATTACAGATAGCCCTTTTTGCATACCTGTATCCCTTATAGGTAACTTTCCTTCCCTAAGGAAGTAGTTTGCCCTTGAGTGATCTTAAGGTATATTGCCTTGCAATAATCTCCTACAAGCAGTAATTTGGTCAAATGAGTCATATTAGTCTTGAAGAAGTAAAAGGGAATGCTGGACAAAAGACATTTTGGAAAAACTTACTTTCAATCAAGTACTGTTTTATTACCTTCTTATATCCCTCCAACGTTTCTTTTCCCTAATTACTCTTTAGGGGAAAATCTTCTCTAAGAAAACAAAATTATATTATTATGATAGTGTTAGTCAACATTAACTATGTTGCTCCTTGGGATCAGAGATAGAATTACTGAGCCAGCATCAGTACAAATGTATTGTAGGCATAATTTCCAATTGCAGTGGTTGGTTTGGAGTTAGCTACTTGCCTCTCTTTTTGTAACATCTGTTACTAACTGCATGCATCACATGTAAGTACATCAGAGGTACCTTTCAACTGAGCTAATTAGTGGAGTGGGTAGATTGCTGGCCCTGGAATCAGGAAGACTTGAGATCAAACTTGGTTTCAGACATCTACTAGAAAGACTCTAGGTAAGTCACTTAACCTCTGTCTGTCTTATTTTCCTCAGTTATAAAACAGAAAAATAACACCAATGACTCCTCCACCCAATATAGTACCCTTCTTTGTAACAGATGAGTAAAGTCAAGCAGAATGAATCAATACCTTGGCCATTTCGGAAAATGTATGAGAATTCCACAACTCTAGTCTACAACCTCTTTACTAAGAGGCATAAGGTAGCTGACATGAGTCCTAGATATATAGTTCAGATAAAATATGGTGCTCATCTTCATGGAACTGACACTTTAAGAATAACATGAATACCAATGATTATAGTACGATATTATATGGATACGTAAATGTATTGTAATATTACTACACATAAAGTAAGAAATGAATGAATAAAAATATTTATTAAGCATTTACTTAATAAAAAGTTCTTTTTGAGGTTAAAATGTGATAATTACAAAATGCTTAGCATAATGCCAAGCACAGGGTTGGGGAACCTGCAGCCTCAAGGCCATATGTGGCCATCTAGGTCCTCAACTGTGGCTCTTTGACTGAATCCAAACATCACAGAGCAAATCACCTTAATAAAAGGATTTGTTCTATAAAACTCGGACTCAGTCAAAAGCCTGCACCCAAGGACCTAGAAGGCCACATGTGGCTTTGAGACCACATGCCCTAGCACATACTAGGGAGTTAATAAATAAATAATAGTTCCCTTGTTCCCCTCTTTTTATTCCAGAATTGTCTCTGTTTAACTAGCTGATCTGGTGGGTGGGGTAAAAGCAAGAGTCATACTCTTAATCTTGGCCTCATTAATATTACACTACAACCACTTGAGTTAACTTGCATGTACCCAGTAGGTGCTTAATAAATATTTGCTGAATTCAACTGAGCAACATTTGCTGAGCATACACTGTGTGCAGAATCCTCTTCTAGGTCACCTGAGGATACATCAAAGAAGTCTATGTTCCAATTTGACCAATAATGGAGCAGAAATTTGATGACTGAGCCCTGTATTTCAAGTTGTCTCATTAAATATCATTAGCGTAGTAGAAGATCTCAGAGAAGTGAAAAGGACACATCAATGACCATATTCCAAATGCATTACATTGAATGTATCTTTGGATCAGTGGTTCTTAATCTTGCTTATGCCATAGACCCCTTTGGCAGTCTAGTGAAGCCTCTTCTCAGAATTTTTTTTCTTTTTAAGTTAAAAGGAGTTATTTTCCAAATAGCACAAAGAGACTTGGATTTTGAGATAAAGAGCTTCAGTTTAAATTGCAGTTTGGCTACTATGTGTATAGTACCAGGCAAGTCACTTCCCCTGGATTTTATATTACTGCTCTGTAAAATGAGGGATTTTATATGAATAGGTAGTTTTCAGATGAATAAATTAAATCTATCTATAGTCATATGAAAAAAATGCTCTAAATCACTATTGATTAGAGAAATGCAAATCAAAACAAATCTGAGGTACCACATCACACCTATGAGATTGGCTCACATGACAAAATATGTTGGAGAAGATGTGGGAAAATCAGAACACTATAGCCTTATTGGTGGAGTTGTGAACTGATCCTACCATTTTGGAGACCAATTTGTAACTATGCCCAAAGGGCTATAAAAATGTGCATAACCCTTTGACCCAGCAATAGCACTTTTAGGACTATATCCCAAAGACATCATACAAATGGGAAAAGGTCCCACATGTACAAAAATATTTATAGCAGCTCTTTCTGTGGTGGAAAAGACTTGGAAATCAAGGTGATGCACATCAATTGAGGAATGGCTGAACAAGTTGTGGTATATGAATGTAATGGAATACTATTGTGTTATAAGACATGATGAGCAAAAAAAGAAACAAAAGAAAAGAAATAAATGAGTAAGCAGACTTCAGAAAAACCTGGAAAGACTTGTGTGGACTGATGCTGAATGAAGTGAGCAGAACCAGGAGAATATTGTACACAGCAGCAGCCACATTGTGCGATGACTATCTTTGATAGACTTTTCTTCTCAGCAATGCAAGGATCTAAGATGTCTAAAAGTCTCATGATGGAAAATACTATCCACATCCAGAGAAAGAACTATGGAGTTTGAATGCAGGTCGAAGTATATTGTTTTCTCTTTTTTTTTCTCTTTTGTTTTGTTTTCTTTCTTGTGGTTCCTCCTATTGGCTCTAAAGTTCATGAAAGTGATTGTTGAAAATTAAAAATAATTAATTTTTAAAAATAAAAAATAAAATGAGGGGCTTTGACCAGATGACTTCAAATATCTCTTCCAGATCTGTCTCTATGATCCTATCATGACAGCATGTGGACAAATCTAGAACTCTCTAGTGCACCTGAGTTTTTTTTGCTAAAGTAAATACTAATGGGTGACCTACAGAAGTATCAAATCTTCTATGGTTGTGCTCTAGAGAAACTTTGATAGAATCACTGGACTGGCTGCTTGAGGTGGTATTCTAATACCACCTAGTATAAAAGTTACATATTATGTTAATAGCTTGCATTTATATAGTACTTTAAGTTTTGGAAAGCACTTTACAAATATTATGTCATTTGATCCTCACAAGTACACTTGGATGTACATATGACTATTATTATTATCCCCATTTACATATGAGGGTACTCAGGTAGACAGAGCAACTTATCCAGCATGACACAGCTAGTAAGTATGTGAGGCAGAATTTGAAATAAGGTCTTTCTGATTCTAGGATCAGTGCTCTATCCATGGTGCCATGTACTTTTCATATATTCTCTCTCTGGTTAATTAATATTAAAGGTTACCTCTGGATTCCTGCAGGCTTAAGGATGTCTAATGGTAGCTGATGCAGATTGCTACATCTGCTGTTAAAGTGCCTCAGAAATGAGCTAGGATACCAAATAAGTACACATGTGGAATGTACCAGAGTCTCAGAAGTTTCAAAATAGATGGAAAGCACTGGATATCATTTTGTGGTCTGAAGACTACAAAAAAGTCTGAGCCAAAATTTAACAGGTTGCTACTGATTTAACGGAAATAATGAAGACTGAGGGACATTTGTCACTGGGACATTTTCAGTCTTTTCAGGATGTTGCTTCCCAGGGAGCTATTAAAATACCTCAATGGAGAAAATGAAAGAAAAAAATACAGCTGACTATAAAAGGCTGCTTAAAGGTGGCATGGCACCTCTGGATATGCCATTCATATTAGAACCATGTCCCTATCCTTTGAGGATTTTGTTTCATTAGGATAAAGAGACGTGGGACTGGGACAAAGATAACATTAACACCATTGCTGCTTCTTATCATTAGGTGATTAATATTTCTGTGAGGTTAGGTTATTATTGAATTTGCTAGTTCTTTCAGTAGCCTTTAAAAGTTCACCTTTACTTAAAAGCACAGCTTATATACAGATAAGCTCAAATTGCCCAGGAATCTTTTAAAACAGGAACACATCATTTCAAAGTTACTTAGCATTAGATAATATTAATGTCATCTAGACCTGTTTACAACTTATCAGATAAAGTGAAAGAAAATTAGAATTTGGTATTCAAAGAACACAATCACATAGAAGTTGGTACATACTTTTGGTCACAACGCCTTCCAAATGGATAATGTTGGGATGATCAAACTGCCCCATGATACTTGCTTCCCCGAGGAAATCCCTCCGTTGTTTCTCAGTATAACCCACTTTAAGGGTTTTGATAGCCACAGGAAATTCTCTTTTTCCTGGTAATTTTAGACGTCCACTGCAGACTTCACCAAATTCACCTGGTAATGAAGACGAAGGAGATGGGGAAAGCTTTCATTTTAAATCAAGTGGTTCAGATTAGGGCAAGTTGACCAAGAAACTATTAAAATGATTGTATTTTATTCTTAGCTATTTGCTTCAGAGGTTCTTTCTAATTCTAGATCTATGAACCTATAATCCTAGTTTTTGATTCCTCTACTAAAAGCCTCTTCTGATGCTTCATCATGGCCATCCAGTGAAAATGAAACTCATACTTACCTGGACATTTTCCAAACTACTGGCTCAGTAATGGACTGTGTGTTTCAACTTTGCTTGATTAAAATGGAATAGGCTTCTTACTAGCAGACTACCCACCAAGTTTATGGACTTTTTAAAAAAGTACTCAAGCACTGATTTGTGTATTAATACCCACAAAAGCAAAGAGTTTTAATATACTATTCAAGTGCACCCATACTGTACTGTATCTTACTGAATATAGATTTTTATTTCTTGAGCCAGTAAAGACAATTATGCATGCTCATAGGGAGAAACATATGCAGATGAAGAAATTCAGAGAAAATAAGAAAACATAAAAGCCGTAACGTTTTTTACTCATAACCCAGCTAATCTGGATCAGAACTATTAACAACAAAAAAAAATTTTGATTTCCTTTCACCTGCCTTTTCTTCCTTTATTCAAGTGGTGGTGATAGAGATTAGTGAAATGATTCAAAGCCTATTGAATGAGAGAGAATAAAAAAAAAGACAGCAACAACAAAAGTTGTTGACAAATGAGATAATCACAAGTTGCATTACATGGCTCTGATATATAAATCCGTGCTATTACAAAAATGGAGTCATGTGGTTGTTTGTTCATTGTTTAAACCAAGAGATTGATATGTGTTCATTTACATGAATTATGTCATCAGGCAATAGAAAATAAGTAGCTTTGAAAATTTGGTCTATTACTTTATATTTGTGAAAATTAAATTTAATATATTTAAAAACAATTTCTGTGTTCTAATTCACTGATGAACACAACATTTAGGCATTAATTTATAAATATAAGGCACAATTTTATACTTAAATGGTGTCATCATACCTGCTCCAATAACTCTTTCAATGGTAATGCATGAAGCTTCTATCTCTTTGGCAAATTCATGGACAGCCTGATTAGGGTCTTCATAGGTATGTGGATCAATATAAGTTCTTACTCCTGGCAGTTTAACTGTAAAAATAAATCAGTATTACAATAGAAATAATAGATGAGGAGGATTCCAAATTTCATTGATATATTTCTATCCTTAAATCCCAAGTAGGCAAAAACTAGTCTTCTAAGTTATTTAAAAAATAGTACTGACATGGCACAAGTTCTATTTTTAGGACCAAATATTTTGGAATAGGTTATTAGAGTGTGTGAATGCGTAAATGTATGTATGCACATACAGGTGTGCAGGTATATACATACATGCATACATATGTACACACACATATATATGTACACATACATACAAAATTGCCTTCCTTCTCCTTTTTCTTCTTCATTATCATCATCATCATCACCACCATCATTTTCTTCTTCTTTTTCTCCTCTTCCTCCCTCTTTTCTCTTCTATCTTTCTACCTATCTTTCTTTCCTTTCTTAATTGCATCAGACTCTTAGAAGTTAAAGTATTCAACAAGGTCACTTAGTCAGCACTTGTTAGAGAGAGATTAGTTCCAGGTCTTCCTGACTAAGCCAAACTCTATACAAATTATTTTATATATGTATATATGTATTTGTGTGTATATATGTGTGCATATGTGTATGCATGCATGCATGTACATACATACATGTACATACGTGTGCACACACACATATTATACACACACACACACACACATATGCCTCCTTTTTTCGGGGGGAGTGGGTCAGGGAAGGTAATTTTATCCACAAGTTGGACAACAAAACAGGAGGGAAGTTTTAGTTTCCCTTTACAAACATAGTTGCGTATTGCCAAATGTTGGCATATACAATAAAAACTGAAAGTGCTTGTGCAGGGGGACATTTACCAGAATCAGAAGTACCACATATTGTGCTTGGCATATGCTTGTCTTGGTATGGTAGCTCAGATCATTTTGAAAATTCTAGACACATCACATTTCATGAAACAATACTGGCATAGTATTAGTGAACCAGAGAGCATGCATCCATTTTACATTTCTTTGTTAAATTATAATGCTTTAAATTTCTACAACCTTTTAAAATCATCCATGTCATTTGGGACTAAGTGGTCTGTATGACCTGTTCCAGAAAATTCTTATCTAATACAAGAGAACAGCGAAATAGAAAGGGGGGGGGAAGGCTTAATGAGGGAATACTGAAGGTTTTTTTAAACCTCATTTACACTCAATTTCCATAATTAATATGATAGATTTTTTCTCCTCTGCATTTATATAAATTAGAATTGACTTAGAGACTTAGTTTGAAATATGACATTTTTCATACCACATAAGAGGATTTTATTGAAATTCCTGCAATGTTTAAAAGTTGCAGCAGAGAGATGCTCAAACTCTACCAATTACTTTTTAATACCTAATCATCATGCATAAATACTCTGTTCTTCATAGAGACTTGATATTAAAAAAACCCAGCAAACTTATCTTTTTGTTAATTATGTTACTATACCTAACCAGAAATGTTAACTTAAGTCAGAGAGAACTGTGGGGAAATTTGTACAATGTGCTTACTGTGCCCATTATGAAAATGCATTTTTTCCTCTTCTGGGTCTTGTTTTGCTTTGCTGTAGCCACACCTCCTGGAACAGAGTAAGCATCCATCAGTCACAGCTGTCAATCTACTGAAGCAATTCATTTACAATAAATAAGTACAGAGAAGCAAAAGAGAACTTCAATTGTTGCCCTTTGGAAAATATCAAACCTCACATTTATAGCATAATAAAAAAATAGTAAAATACTTTCATTTATTTAATTCCACTCCTACCTCCCACTCTCAGTCCATAACTTCTTTAAATACTTTACTGAAACAATTAATCAAGATCAGCTGACATGACTTCCTTTATCTTTCATCCTCTCACTCTCAAGATATCTTCACTTATTCTCTTATGCTTTCTGTGCTCTTTCAAAGGAAGAAGTGACTCTTCTTTTCCAACTTAACCCTTTCACCTATCCTGGGTATTCCCTGGTTTCCTCTTTCTTCCTAGACAATGGTAAATCATTTGCTCTTCCATCTTGAATCACTAACCCTTCTCTCTCCACTAATTCCTTCAAGTCTTCAATATTCTGAAAAGGGTAGGAGAAATTCTCAACTTTACCATTTGCTTGACCTTTTATTCTATCTTCTATAACTTTCCTTCTCGAAATCTATACCATAAAGATCAGAAGAACCTTAGAGGTGACCTAATGCAACCAACACTCACTCTACCTCATTTATATACTCAAACAATGACTGCTCAAATGTACTCAAGTTTTTTTTTTTTAATGATACATACAGGACCATAGCCCAGTTCAGAATTATTTCATGAAAAGCTTGGCCTGCCTTTCATAATGAAACTCATCATAGTATGTATACATTCCCAGTCCCTTCTAACCCACCATTCCTTTCCTCAACTTCTTGTAAACTGAATTTTGCTCCTAATATTTTATTTACATTTCACTATAAAGTCACTGATCACATTTTTTATTCCATATTCCATCTTAAATTCCCTACTGCATTTGTCACTGTTGTCACTGTCCTATAGGTGTGTTGAAGTGAGCCCAAACTGGCATAAGAATCCATTTTTAATTTTCCATGGGAGTATTTGTATCTCAGAAATTTGTCATTGAACATTTACAAGAAGACCCCTGTCCTCACTCTCTTTCTTGATTGGAAATTTTGTCCCTTTGATTACAAAAGAAATCACTATTTAGTTCTTCACTTTCCTCTCTGAAGATTCTTTCTCTAATTCTTTTACTGTCTCCTATTATTTTCCCAACTACTAGTTGGATACTCCTCAAGGTTTTGTCCTTAGGCCATTCCTCCTCTATGTATAGTGTTATCCTTTTTTCCTCCAATTCCTCTCCTCTTGTCTCCTCTCTCTCTTATGCTACAGTGCTCACTGCTCTTAATCTTTATGAAACAGCATTGATCACATGAGTCTTTTGCTAAAAAATATTCTGCCACCTAAATGCTTACCTAATAAACTCCTTTGCCTAACACTTCAGATCCAGTTTGTTTTGTCCCCAAACTGTGTTTCCAAGTTTACTTCTTCCTATCCCCCTTCTAGGATTTTAGATTCTACTTAGACCAAAGCACTGTTTGACCCACAGTCACATCTCATATTGTTCTACTTCTATACTATTCCATCTGCAAAAAAACTCTGTCCTATCTCCCCTACTCATTCAAGCATGTACTCCCAAATCCATGAAGTCTCCCTTTATCCTTTACAATGTATGCAGTTTTTCTCTATGCTGTGGCTCCCGTAACATTTTGTAGCTTTCTTGCAACATTGATCATATTCTACCTTGTTTTTGAATTCTTTGTTTATGTCTCATTTCCCCTACTTGATCTTGGGCAGAAACCAAGTCTCATTTTCTCTACAGCCACTTGCATAATGCTTTGTGAAGCAGGTGCTAAATAATGTTTGCAGAATGAATGAATGAATGAATGAATGAATGAATGCATGAATGCATGAATGGGTGTTATTTTTGGTTGTGTCCATACAATGGAGAAAAATGTTTGGGGAAGGAGGCAGCACAGCCTGTCACATTAAGGTGAGAGTAATGATACCAAAGAACCCTACCAACGTGACATTCAAACCACTGCTGGAAAAACAAATGGAAAAAATGTCATTTCACTTTATTTTTATTGTAACATGCAAAAAATAACAAAATTTTCACTGAACATATTTTCTGAGGTAATTATATGTTCTGACATAGAAAATAGTCAATCTTTCATGGAGGATTAATAAAATTTTTTTCCCCTAATATTGGTTTGAAGATATTTATCTTTTATAGAATGTCATAAAAATGGATTCAAAGAGAGTATTTCTTGGTTTTATAGTTTTTCTTAAAAAAAAAAACTTTTGCACTGTGATAATAAAGAGGACTAAATATGATAGGGACAACTCTTTTAAGCCTGTCATGCTATTAATTATAAAATTTAGGAGAGATAATTATAGTAAATATGGCTTTTCTTATTAAAGGCCTAATTTTATATTAAATAATAGTAAATTTTAATAGAGTACGAAGAGCAGACAAGGAAAATATTATCAGATTTTCAAGCTGATTCATATCACTTGATTAAATAGTAATTAAAATGAATAAACTACTTACTATGAGCAAACTATGAGATTAGGTAATTAATTCAGTTCCTGCTACTTGATAAGATTGTACGCAAATAGGATCATAGATTTAGAGCTGGAAAGGGCCTTGAAAGGACTCTGGTGTCCTACAGGAGCTCTTTCATACCCTACTCATATTGTAATTCAGTGAATTAGATCAAAAGAAAAAAAGCAATTATAACTTTTATATTGAAATTATGCTATGATTTATTGAAGCTGAGATTCAATTTATTTTAATAAACTTCAATCTCATTAACAATTCTTTTTTTTGGTATTTGTTATTGTTGGCTTCAACTGACTCATTTGCCTTTAGAAATATTATGTAATCATAGATTTAGATCTGGAAGATTTTTTTTTCAGAAATCCTCTAGTTCAAACTGTATATTTCATACATAAGGAAACTCAGGTCCATGGAAGCCTCAAAGGTAGAAAATGAGAGAGACAAAGTTTGAACCAAAGGCCCCTGTAAGTGCCATACTGAGGGCTTTTTCAACTATACTATCCTCATTCTCAGTTAAAAATTGACTCTCACACATATACACACACATATATATATATAATATTTTGAATATATATATATATGTATATACACATATACATATACAGTGTGTCTACACATGCACACATACCCATAAATCAATATAAAACATTTGACATGCTTTCTGAGATCCAGGTATTATTTTAAAACACAAACCTAATACAAGACATTCTTGAACAATCTACACTGATAAAAAACACTTGTGCATGTACACACACAATCTTACAGTTTACCTTAAAAAAAGAAATACTCCTTTCCTCCAAGAACAGAACCTATGCTTTCAAAACTATCCTGAAGTTATCTTTATCATTAAATGAGTCTGGTGAAAATTTAAATTGTATGCAAATTCCTCACATGAAAGTAGAAATAAAACTTTAAATCTCTTATAAAAATGATTTGGGAATACCTTTGTGCAGAGTGGATAACATTTTATTACCTAGGGTGGGATTCAGAAGGGTAATAGAATCAAGTTATTTTTGACTATGGGCATCTCTGGAGCTCGATAACATATACGGCAGCATGTCACATTAACATATAAAATTAAGTTCTGAAACCCCCCAAAGCACCATTAAAACAAGCCTCAACAAGATACACCAAGTAAAACTGCAGCTGGCATGAACTTGCACTCAAATAGTGGTTCAGCATCACTAACAAAGCATTGCAGAAAACCTGTTCATTCAGTATTATCTTCTGTAGCTGCTCCAGATGCATCATCTTAACCAATCAAATAGATACTAAATATGCCACTCTTGGTATAAATTATGTCCCCTGCCTTCTGGAATATTTTTTTCTGAATGGAGAAATAACATTTTGTACATTTTACTTCATATTATATTTTTAATGTTCTTTGGAATATTATGCTAAAAATAACTACTTCATTTGGAGTTTGAGGCTAAACATACAAAATGGTTTTTCCATTGATTTTATCATTCGAAAGAATGTCTTAGTTTTTGGAAAGATACTTGGAAAAGAGAAATTGCATCACATACCAATTTGTCTTCAATGTGTTTAATAATAATAATAATAATTTAAAAGGTCTAGGTCTATGATATTCATCATTACTGTAAAATATTTATGAACAATATAGATGTAATCACAATTTTTATTAGTGTAGAGCAGTGGCTGTTACATTATCATCTAGTGACACCTGGTTATGTTCAAAATCTTTTCAAGAGGTCCATTAATTCAAAACTTTAATTATGATAATAGTATTACAATATTAATACATACTAAATGTTTTAATTTCTAGTACAAGAAAAGTCAATAGATTTAATTCAAATAAACAAAAATTCTTTGGAGGGGATACTTACATATTTTAAGAGTGCAAAGGATCCTAAGACCAAAAGGTTTGAGGACCACGGCTTCAGGATCTGGATAATTAGAAATCTACAACTTGATAATTTAGCAAATATTTCGTGTGTGTGTGTGTGTGTGTATGTGTGTGTGTGTGCAAAATGGGAGGGGGGAGGAGAGGGAGAGATTGGTGATTTGAAGCTTCTCATCTTACATGAAATAAGAAAAAAAAATAAAACAATAACGTCAAGATGTGGTAGAAATCACAAGAATCTATAAAATTGTTCATTCTTGGAATTAAATTTGAGATTTTGGGATAAGATCATACCATTGTATACACAAAATATGACTAGCAATTTACTCAATGACATTAAAAGATGGAATGGATGAGCAACAGTGAATAAATTTAAGGTGTATTATTCTCTAAAAAGTATTTTTTTTTCCTTTGCAGAACAAAAGCCTTTTCACATTCTCTTTTTTTCACATTCCTTCTCATTTTTCACACTATCTAGCTTGGGAGGAGGGTCCTCATTTTTAATTCTTTGAAAAATTTGGAAAATACACTGTTTGACATGGAAATGAGCACTTCTGTTTTAAATCTCTGTTTTGCTCCTTTGCTACATAATACCAATTACACTGTTTTACT